TGTTATCCTTGCAGCCTGAAATCACCACATACGCGCGTCTGGGTCGTATAAACGCCGGAAGGATATGCGCATTTTTTTGGCTGAAAAACAGTTTCAAGAGCCAGACATGCTAAAAAACTGAAATTTCACACAGCTGTTCCCTGCCCATCATAAGCTAAAGGTTTCAAATTCATCTATTACGGACGCCTACACCGAACACACCGCCACGTCAGTGTTCGCATTTGGCATGGTAGCAGTTTGAAAAATAGCAGGAAAACAGTAGCTGAAATTTTTTTAGAATATTTTTGTTCCACTTGGGAAATCGTACACCTAATTCGTATTTCGATTTTCATTCGCGCCAAGGCTTAGGACATTTAGAGATATTTGTAATGAAGTGAGTACTTCACTTACCGGACAGGTAAGAAGCTGAAACTTTGCAATGATGTTTTATATTCGCATGTGGTCTAAATACAGCTTGAAGGCTAAGTTCCCTGCATAAAGAAGTGGAAAATATTGAAAATCAGTAAAACGCACACACAACCTCAAATGCGTGTGCGTTTTGCTGATTTCGTAATCCTTCCGCTCCGGCGTCTTATGCATTTTCAAATTTGCCTTTTTCGATGAAAGAACGGTCACTGGAAAAACGACCCATCTTTACGCAAAATTGATAATCATGCGCGCCGGAGGTTTATGCGATCCCATAATGTAATGCTACAATGCCCTGTTACCTCCGTAACACAACCAACATGAGTCCACGTGAAAAATGGAACATATGAACCATCTATGCTGTTAACTATTTGACTACTGCATGCTTAGCGCAAAAACGCATAATAGCATCGGCAAGCCCGCTGCGTTGTAACCCGAGTTTTTGTCTTCTAGTATTACTGTACTCTCAGACCAGCGCAACCATTTTAACAGTCACTGTATGTGAAATACGCATCTCGCTTGAATACAGTTTTACAGAATGGCAGAAAAAGCTTACGTTGACATCCCGGTGATCCTTTGGCAATTAGATGTAGACCCCAGAATCCGTCCATACAATGGTCACATTTCTTGCCTGCAACTCCCGGAAGACATCGGCATTGCCCTTGCTCGTTGCAAGTGTTTCCGTAAGAACCAATACGATTGCATCCACAATCATCTGAAATATTGCCACAAATTATCTGTCTAGAAAAGATACAATTACTGAACATATAGCTGCGTTGACACCCGGAATGGCAAAAAGGGGGAGGAGGACGGAAAAGAAATGGGGAGGAAGAAGATGCTAGACAGGATTTCTGATGCGAAGGCGCAAGAAACCACTTTGACCTTTATAACCTATTAGAGTTGTATGAGACAATGTTATAGTTACACAGCAGATTGAGAATTTAGGGAAGCGATATGAGAAAAAAGTAATCTTCTGTTTTATTGACATAAACAGGTAAACTCGTTAAGGTCATTTTTTTTGCAAATTTCTTGAACTGGTTTTTGGAAATTGATGCCCTCAAAGATTTAAGTGAGAAATTGCTTCAACAGCACACAAAAAATTCACATCGTCATTAAATTACCTCTTGAAGTTTATGTAAAAATATCAAGAAATCTGGCCCTAATTCGCCCTTTGCAAAAGGCACTCCGAAAGTACCACGGGAAACTTCGCAAAACTCAACAAAG